GACCTCCAACTAGGTCCCATCCCCTAATAGCCCATTCAGAAATGAGCTCATCAGTCCACTGATCCATTGATAAGGCTAGTGTTCTTATGATCCTATCACTCCTCAATGACATCCCCAGCTGAACCAAACCTTCAACACACGAATCTCTGGGACATTTTATATCTAAACCCTAACATACGGTGATAGTCTGTATTTTCCAGACTAATATGGAAACAGGTAAATATCACAATTACTTACGTATAACTTTTACACTGTATTTACTGCACTTCTGTAATTATCCACTGAATTTTTGGCCTTTACTAGATTTTGAATTTCTGAAGAAAAACAATAATTTCATACTCATGTTTATTTCCACTGACTACCAAACACAGAGAAGTGGTATAGTAGATGTTTGTTGAACTGAACTAAATAAATACACATCTGATGATCATTAGAAGACAAAGATAGGGCTGGTGAGTGGCTCAAGTGGTAGAGTGTCTGCTTAGCAAGTCTGAAGCCCTGAGTTCAAATCCCAGTACCACCAAAAAAAATGAAAAAAGAAGACAAAGATACATAACCCTCCAAAGGAATAATAAAGAAGAAGCAATTATCTTTGCCTAGAGTGTGTGTGTGGGTGTGTGTGTATGTGTGTGCAAGGGATGTGCACTGGCCACAGACCAATAATCATGAAAAAATGCTCCATATCACTAGTGGTCAGGGAAATACTCATCAAAACACACTAAGATCACACATCATTTTTAACCAAGATAATAGTAAAAATACATATTAAAAATATTCAGTCCTGGTGAAAGCTTAAAAGCAATCTATTATTGCTATTATTATTCTAGGCTTCTTGAAAAGTAATTTCAGGTGCCTATTTATATTATAAATACATATAATTTTGATTCATCAATGTCATACTTGGGAAATTTTAATACATTATAGAGACAAAGTTATCAAAATGTGATAAAATATGTACAAATATTTTTATCGAATCATTATATATAACAACAAATATTGAGGAGCTTGACAAAAGGCCATCACAAAGGTGAAGAACAGGATATGTGGCAAAGGCATTAGCAGAATAGACTCAGGAGCCAGCTCTGCCCTTAATCAACTTAGGACTGTTGAACATGTTTCTTAGTTCTTTAACCCCCCACTTCTCTCATCTGGAAGCTGAACATACTAATAGTGCTTATTTTATAGAATTGTTAGGAGGATAAAAGCACTGAGAACTCTTCCTGGTACAAAGAAAGCACCACATAAGTTAATTAAACATGCAATTATTTAATTGAATATTAATTTAAAATACAATATTCCTACTCTAGGGCACTTGTAAACCGATCCATTGTTTTAAAATGTTTTCATCTGGACAGATACCTATGACTCATTGGTAAATGAAATAGAACAGAAAGAGCCCAGTGAACAGTACATTTCCATTTTCCTCAACAAACTGACATCTTACTACTACTTGCATTGTCTAATTTGATACTAGGCATATGGACAGAATCATCAATAACTTTTAATGCCACTGACCTCAGGAAACCTAGATCTGTTCAGGAAGTCAGAAATTATCAACATTGTTTTTACTTATCTCTGCATTTTTTGGTTCATTACAATGAGCATATATTACTTTTATAATTTTAAGATATGACAATAAATTGTTATAAAAATATATAAGTCTAGGAACCAAAAACAGCTCCATGTGACACAAATTGGAATGGAAATAAAAGTTATTAAAACTCAAGAATCCAGAATGCAAAGGACCACAATCCAAATGTCTGCCATCTTGTATGAGAGCTTGGCTACCTCCTGCATGCAGCCTGGGGAAGGTAGTAAACATCAGCAAGCACAGGCATGGTTGTATTATCTGATTTGTGCAGCATGAAGAATTCTCATGCAGGCAAATTATCACACATATCATTTTGGGGTATGTATTTCTGTTCAGTGGCATTGTGTTTGTAGCTGCACCAGAACTGGAGTTTGGAGGAAGATATTCTTCATAGCAGCAACTAACAATTTGGCTCAAGCTAGTCTTTGCTCCCTTGAAGGACATGGAATAGGAAAAGAAAAGAGGCTTTCAAATGAGGATTCCAGCTGATGGGAATCACCCAGAGGCTGGGAAGGGTAGGAAGGGGAAGAGTCACAGTCTTTTGATCATCTTCCTTAGGACACAACCCTGGAGCTCCTCACTTGACGGACTGTCATGCTGCCTCAAACATTCCATGGCATTGTTTTCACATGCTCATTAACTGGGAACTTCTCTGAGAATCACCAGAAAAAATGGGAAAGAGGGCTGGCTCAGTGCAGAATCACTTAAAAAACCTAGCTCATTCTACTTTAACCATATGACCCTATGTCATTTGTACCTCTAAAAGCAGATTGTGCTACTCGAGATGTGCATAGTTTTGGAGTTCAAGTTGGAAACTTGCTTGTGTCTTATGTGGATCTGAGAAAAGAACACTGAATTTGACGTGTTTGTCTTGTCAGTAAACCTTTAAGACAGAGAGACACTGTGGGTATTTGCCCTTTAAGAAAGCATACTTTCAGCTCCTTCAGAATCGCCTAAGGCTTCCTCACAAGCTAAGCCTCTCTCAGCAGTGCACTAATTACCTATACAAGGGAAAAAGATGAATATATTTCTTCTCAGAGATACTGCATCTAGATTTTGACATTTTATTTATCTCAACCTTTAAACTTATCTTGCTTTAAATGGTAAAACCACAGTGCTTCACAAATCTCAAAGCTAAATCCATTATAAGGTGGAGTTGGTTGTCAGGTGCAGTTAATTGTTCTGCATGGCATCATCCCTTTCCTCTCAGTTTGACTCCCTGAGTGAACAACAACAAAACACAACAAAATCAACAACTTGCTCCAGGATTAAGGTGCAATCAATGACAAGACCAACTGGGAGAGAAAACTTATTAATTTGGTACAGGCATTTTGTCATCCCTGACTTGCTGATCCAGAGAAGTTTGAGCCCTAGGACTTCAGTACAAGGTCAATTGCCTCTTGACTCCTCACTTACTCCAATGCCTCCAGGGGCATTTGCCACTTGCCTGCTTTTGACTATTCTTCTGGCAAAACCTTCAAAGAATAAGGGCTCAATTGAATGGTACATGCATCTAATTTTTGGATAAGAAGCCATCTCTCTGCTGCTTGTTATTTTCCATGAGTGGAGAAATGCTGATTAGAACAGCACAGCACTTTGAAAACCTTACCCATTTTATACATATCTAATATAACACTTACAATATTTTAGGTTTTATTTGTTCAGGTATAGAAAAATTCACCAGAAGACAACTCATATGAAGTTTACAAACTAAGAACTCCATAAATCTGTGGCTACTACTTATTGTGTGACCTTGAGCACACCATAAATGACAACTTAAGAGAATGTAATAACACATCCCTAACACTAAGAACCATGCCTGACACACAGAAAAGGCTTAATAATTTTTTATTATTGTTGTCAGCATTACTATTATCACCAGTATCATCACTATTATCATTAAACCAGCAAGGTGCTGGGTTAAAAACTTAAAGTCTAGCTGAGAAGAGAAAATATACACATGAGCAGAGTAAAGAAGCAACCTACTTCATATTTTTATTACCACATTTATGGTTGTAGGACAGTTTGTTTATTTACATTAGAATTATCTTCTTCAGGGATCTGGCAGTTCTGGGTGGCAGCTTAAGTACCTTATTCAGTAGAATTATATATGGCAGGTTACATTTCTCTCTCACCTTTACTGTCCACAGAACTCTGTGCCCCTCCAGGAAATGAACACTTATAGGACACAGCCTAAGTGCTGTTGGTTTATGCATATACCACCTTCCCCTCTCTGGACCAGAATAATACAAAATATAAAGTAGTCAATCAATATACCTTTGTTAAATAAATGAATGAAAAAGAAATTATATGTTGATGATTGTGCAATAAAGATAAAATTGCTGCATTCACTGGTTTATTCAAAAAGATAAACTTACTAAGAAGCATCTTTGTGCTAGGCCCTATGCTCAGAGACATGGGTGCCTTCAGGATGTCTAAAATCTATTCTGGGGTCATAATTGAATTTTTTTTTTTGCATAGGTGAGTTTTCAGCATAAAATGTAAGAGCTGGTGCAGGAGGATATATAGTTTCCTGAAGGCTAGACTTAACTAGACAATGCAAAACCATGAGATTCTGTCTTCCTGATCCTCATCTTCTTCCCACTCCTCCCCAATACTAACACCCATCCAAAAGTTTCCTATACACTGAGTGTGGGCATCAAGAACTGCTCAGAAATGTAAGTTCTACCAATGTCTGTGTGAAGTAGTATAAATATTTTCCTTATCACTCTCTTTTATTTTATAAATGACCTTTTCTGTAACCTGTATTCTCTTCTTATTAAAGTATTAACACAACAGGTTTCTAGAAGTATAAAGCACCCACAGTAATTATTTCTAATATAATATATATATATATATATATATATACACACACATATATATCTAATGACAAATGTCCCTAAAGGATTTGTACCTATTCAATTGAAAGGGTATTTTTTTTACACAGTCTATGTTTATGAGGTGATACATCATGAATCCCAGAGATTAGGATGTGTAAATTGTGTGTGTATACCTATGTATGGCTGGTGAGCTTCAGGACCATGGACAGCAAGCTGAGAATTAGTAGGCAGCCTAACTCCAGACCTAGAAGTTGTGCTGATCCCTTCTACAAAGCTGCTCTATCAGCTCCCAGATCATTGAGAACCATGGAAATCCAAAAATGCATAAGCACACATTAGTTAATGAACAGTGTAGCATAAGGATCTGACTGACCAATTATGGAAGGTAATTCTCTGGCTTGTGTGGAATCAAAGCCCAGGCCGTTGCTAAGAGAAAAAGAATGAACAGAGGAAGGAGGGGTACATATAACCAAGAACCTTCTCACTAGGATATGAGGCCATGAGAGAGAGCAATAGCAGACATCATGCTTAAATAACACAGTAATTATTGGCTCAATTTATCTACATACCTCCAAAGCGAGCTCTCTGTGATGCTCCCCAGGTTATAGTCATAGAGCTTTGTCAAAATGAGAATCACCTGAAGGCAAAGAAGAACTCATGGTTAGTCTCAAACAATTACAATCTCTTAAAATTGAAATGGCCCAGGGGAGGGCTTAGGATTCCTTTAATGGGCGTTTAACATAATTGAATGAATTGTTACAGCATTTTCTGCACTAACTGAGGAAGGGCTGGCATGCCTTCCACTGAAGAAATTAAGCCAGATGCCTTCCCCATTTGTCTCCCTGCCACTGTGTAGCAAGAGTTATACTCTACCCCATTCACCCAACAAGGCAGGCACTGAGGTAGATGGTTACAACAGATGTCACCGGTGCAGTTCCCAGCTCCCATAACATGGGCACCTAGCCAGTTTCTTACCTTCTCTGTACCTCAACATTACCATCTATTAAGGACATAGAGGGTAATACTGTCTCCCAGAAAAGTTGCTGTGAAGACTAAAATTACATACTAAGCATGGGATTTTTTTTTAATATTAGTTCCTTCCCTTTCTCCTTTTTTGTGAGCTGGCTTTAAGTTTCTTTGGAAATTATCAATATCCAGGAAAGCCATTGGATAGAATCCACTAAAACACCAAGGAAGA